TCTTCAACTAGATTCCACTACTTGGCTATCTGAAGGTTGAGTTACTCAACTTTCCTGTGCCTCAGTTTTTTCTTCCTTAAAGCATGGAATAATAATACTAAAGTTGTTAGGAAGATTAAATTTGTGAAGTGCTTGGAAGGCTTCCTGGTGAGTAGTGTCGCCTAATATCTTATTATAGCAATATGAGGCCAGGTTACCACAGCTTCTGACTTTTCACAGAAGCAGAAACTCAGGTTCTTCTGTGAAATTTCTCAATGTTTCAGATGCGGCTTGTTTAAAGCAGTGTGACATTTGTAGGCTGTGACGGTGCAACCTCTGTGAAACTTATGTTCTGCCATGGCAACCTCACCAGCTGAGCTACCTGGTGACAACAGTGTGTTTGTTGATAGCACCACCCCTAAGGTCCCTTCTATGCCCCAAAGCCATATACCATATATGGATGCCTGTTTACTATCTTCAGATGGACCCTCAAACTCAGAATGTTTCAAAGGGAATCTTCCCCCACTTTTTTTTTTTTTTTCCAGTGCTGAGGAGGGAACCCGAAGCTTCACACATGCCAGACAATGGCACTACCACTGAGCCACACTCCAATCCCCCAAAGGGAATTCTAGCTTCGCCAACCTCCAACATACCAAGTGTTCTTCCTTTGTTGCCCCCTCCTCAGTAAATGGTTCTATCACCCACCATTTACCAATACTAGAAACCTGGGATCTACTCTCAGTTCTCCCTCTTCTCCTCTTCTCTTCTCCAGGCCCACCTCCAGTGGTTGTGCACGCAAGGGAGCCTGCCCAACCAGAGGCCTGAAATCTAGCCTCTTGCCACCTGCTGAGCCCCAAAGCAGGGTGGGATCTACCTAGAGGAAGAGCAGCTCTTTCTACAAGGCTATTTGACTTACCAACAGCCTGTCCCCCTTCTTTTCCTCCCCAGATTCCTGCCAGTTCATCACCAAGTCTTCCCCTATTTTGTTCTTGTTTTTATCTACCTCCCTCCATCTCCTCTTCCCCATGTAAGTCACACTCATTTTTCACCAACTGTCCCTTTGTTCACACCCCCTTCCACTCATTCCCCATCCATTTCCTGGGACAACTAATCTCTTTAAAACTGAAAACTGAATATATCACTCCCTGTTAAAACCCTTTGATGACTTCCTGTTGCTTTTATAGTAAAGATCAAAATCTTGCCACCACCTCCCTATGTGATCTTGCTCTGGCCTAAATCTCCACCCGAATGCCCTACTCTGCTCTGGCTTAAGGAGTCCTGGGCTTCCCACCACCTAGTCTTAGGCTTATCCTTCCACTTCGGGTTTCACTTCTATATTTTTCAGGAGGTCTTTGTCTACCTCCACATTACATTTGGTCTCTCTGCGTGGTGCTTTCTTGACTTCTGCCCATTTCATTTACAGGCTTATCTCTGTTATTGAAATGTACACACTGTGTGAAGATATTTAAAAACCTATGTGATCTCTCTTTAAATGATGCACATTTTCTCATGGGCTGTCATTCCTATAGGGGTGCGGGCCAGACTTCAACTTACCAGTAAAAGTTATCTAAGTCTCTTCTGGTCTAACTCAGTTTCATTAAGGAAAAATATTTGGGTCACAATTCAATGTTGCAGTCCTATCAGAACCTTCCCCTCCTCGCCCTTGACTTTCCAAGGTGACCAGACAGATGTCTGGATTTCTGGCACGCCATCTGTAAGTGGCCATCTGGTAAGATACCAGAAGAATTCTCTCAGACTTCTCTCCCTCCCAATGCTACTGTCTGCTCCTGAGCCCTGTTTAGAGTGGGACTGCTCCCCAAAGGTGGCAGCCTTCCAAACCAGCCCTGGGGAAGTGAGCTTCTAGCTTCCTGAGCACTTAGTTGGATATTCTCTTTCTTCATGAAATTTACTTATTTATTGGGTGCTGGGGATTGAACACGGGGCCCTGTGCATGCTACGCATGTACTTTACCACTGAATTATAGTCCTATGGCATTTATTTCTATCTTCTCAATTCTTTTTTTTGGTGGGACTAGGGTTTGAACTCCTGGCCTTATGCCTAGGCAGGTACTCTACCACTTGAACCACTCCGCCAGACCCCTATCTTCCCAGTTCTTATTTTCTCTTTGAGTTTTTACTTAAGGCTCAGAGAAGCCTTCTTGACCATTCAAATTAGATTAAGTTTCCCTATTAAATGGTAATTGGGCTATAAATTTCAGGAGGGCAAGAGCTCAGCTTTTTCCACTTCAGTCTCCTCAGTTCATGGAACACAGTGCCAAAACACTGAATATAAATACAATAAACATTTCTTTGAGCAAATATTGCCAACATACTTTTATCCCTAATAAACTATAAGGTCAGGAGGCCAAGGGTGACATATTATAAATTCCTCAGATGCTTTGTCGTGCGGGGATTTGGAGTTACCTCCTGGCCCTACTGTTCATACCTTCCACACACTTTTTCTTTTTTGTGGTACTGGGGTTTGAACTCCTGGCCTCACGCTTGCTAGGCAGGCACCCTTACCACTCAAGCCACTCCGCCAGTTCTTTTTTGTATTGGGTATTTTCGAGATGGGGTCTTGTGAGCTTATTTGTCTGGGGCTGGCTTCAAACCTGCATCCTCCTCCACTCTGGAAAAAAATTTGGAGGCTACTTAAAAAGCTGGACATCGATCTACCATTTGATCCAGCAATACCACTCTTGGGAATATACCCAAAAGACTGTGACACAGGTTACTCCAGAGGCACCTGCACATCCATGTTTATTGCGGCACTATTCACAATAGCCAACCTATGGAAACAGCCAAGATGCCCCAGCACTGACGAATGGATTAAGAAAATGTGGTATCTATACACAATGGAATTTTATGCAGCCATGAAGAACGAAATGTTATCATTCACTGGTAAATGGATGGAATTGGAGAACATCATTCTGAGTGAGGTTAGCCTGGCCCAAAAGACCAAAAATCGTATGTTCTCCCTCATATGTGGACATTAGATCAAGGGCAAACACAACAAAGGGACTGGACTATGAGCACATGATAAAAGCGAGAGCACACAAGGGAGGGGTGAGGATAGGTAAGACACCTAAAAAACTAGCTAGCATTTGTTGCCCTTAATGCAGAGAAACTAAAGCAGATACCTTAAAGCAACTGAGGCCAATAGGAAAAGGGGACCAGGAACTAGAGAAAAGGTTAGATCAAAAAGAATTAACCTAGAAGGTAACACACACGCACAGGAAATCAATGTGAGTCAATGCCCTGTATAGCTATCCTTATCTCAACCAGCAAAACCCCTTGTTCCTTCCTATTATTGCTTATACTCTCTCTACAACAAAATTAGAGATAAGGGCAAAATAGTTTCTGCTGGTTATTGAGGGGGGGGAGCGGGAGGGGGTGGAGTGGGTGGTAAGGGAGGGGGTGGGGGCAGGGGGTAGAAATGAACCAAGCCTTGTATGCACATATGAATAATAAAAGAAAAATGAAAAAAAAATAATAAAATCAACTAACTGAAAAAAAAAAAATCAAACCTGCATCCTCCTAATCTCTGCTTTCTGAGTAGCTAGAATTACAGGTGTGAGCCATGACACCCAACTGTCCACCTACTTTTTTGAGTGCATACTTTGTGTAATGACTGGGCTTATTTGGAATACAGGAATAAAGTTCTGAAACATTCAAATTAAGCATTAAATACATCAAAAGGTTGATATTATGTATGAAAAAGTATAAAAAAAAAGTGACGTCCCTAACTCCACCATCCAGCTCCAGTGGTAAATATCTACATACTGAGGAGAAAAGGTTGAGAGGCAGAAGTAGGTCCTTGGATAGTAGCTGGGAGGCAACTACAGTCGGGCAGAAATGATGAGGTACAGGATGAAAGAGAAGGCTGACCTCAAGAGATACTGGGCTGAAGGTGTGGCTCAAGTGGCTGAGCACCTGCCTACCAAGACTGAGGCCCTGAGTTCAAACCCCAGCTCTGCAAAAAACAAAACAAAACAGCTTAATTTGGGTGGAGGTGTGGCTCAAGCAGTAAAGTGCCAGCTTTGTAAAGGTGAGGCCCTGAGTCCAAACCCCAGTCCCACAAAAAAAAAAAAGAGAGAAATACTGAAAGGGAGTCCCGTGTAGTGGCTTATGTCTGCAATCTCAGCTACTCAAGAGGCCAGAGGTAAGGAGGACCACAGTCTGAGGCAGACTCAGGCAAAGAATTAGTGAGACCCTTATCTCAACAAATAATGGACATGGTGGGGTGTGAGCAGTCCCAACAACAAGGGAGGCACTAGGAAGAAGGATCACGGTCCAGGCCCACCTGGGCAAAAAGGTGAGACCCAGAAAAACAACTACAGCAAAAAGGGCAGGAGGCATGTCTCAAGTGGTAGAGATCCTGCCTAGCAAGTGACAGGCCCTGAGTTCAAATCCCAATACTGCCAGAGAGAGAGAGAGAAAACTGGACTTGAAAGATTGTCACTCACTAAGTAGCGTGACCTAGGTAATTCCCAATATTTCTGAAGAGTTTCGTTTTCTTCCTTTGTTTCTTTTTTCTTTGTTTTGCTTGCTTTCTTCTCCCTTTGCTGCCCAGGCTGGGCTCAAGTGATCCTCCCTTCAGCCTAACAAGGAGCTGGGACTACAAGCCCACCTCAGTTTAGACATCTGTAAAACGGGTACGAAATAACTACTGGCATTTGTACTCCTATCATCTAGCACAGAGGCTGACACAAGATGGCACACAAAAAAAATCGTAGTTACTATCGTTATTTCTGTGAAAGTTCACAGGCGCCAGTACAATGAGTATTCTGTCAAGCTGGGGTGGAGCTGGCACTCGCGGTCTCCTAAGCAGGAAACAACGAATGGTGAGCCGAAGTGCACTGTCCAGGCCGCTGGGTAGCTCGGTCACGGTCAGAGCTCCTGCCAACCACAGCGGACCTCGCCCCGCCCACGTCCCCGCAAGCTCCGCCCCCCCCTCCCGGTCGCGCGCGTCCCCGTCATCGCCGCGCGCGCGCGCGCCCCGCCCCTGCTGCTGACGTGCAAGGCGGAGGGGCCGGGCGGGCTTCGTAACACCGTGTGCTTCCGCGGCTGTGGGGTCGCTTGGGGCCTCGTGGCGGGGCTGCTCCGCAGGCTTCGCGCGTTCCTTTGCCTTCCCGTGTCCTCTCACGTCGTCCGGCGGGGCCGCTCTGTAGCCAGAGACCGGAGGAAGGGTGAGTGTTGCCGGCTGCGGGATGGACCGGGCGGGCGGGCGGGCGCGCGCGCGCCCCGCTCTCCCGGGCTTTGTCTGGGCGGGGGTGGCTCAGGCACGTGCGCGCCCCTCCCCCACGGCGGGCCGCGCGGAGCGGGACCCAGAGCGGGGGCGGGGGAGCTGGCGACTGAGGAGAGAGCGCAGTCCGGGCGAGGTTGGGTTCTGGGTGAGTGAGAGTCGCGAGCCTCGGAGTCGGGAAGCGGGAATGCCGGGGTGTGTGTGTAGGGGGGTGAGGAGTGGAGGGAGGGATGTTTGAGGGCATGGGACTCCCCGCAGCCATAGTGGCCGAGCGGTCGTGATGTCAGCGTGGTAGCCTGCGGATAGTGTTGGAGACGGGAATGGCTCTGGCTCCAACAAGTTGTGCACTGTCCCTCCAACCTGTCTCCGTCCCTGCTAATGTCCCCCCTTCCCCATCCCCCGTGGAGGGGCAGGGTTGAGGTAGGTGAGGGTCCGCCAGGGATGGGCGGGGCCCGCGGCAGGGCTGAGAGGCCGCGCGCGGGCGGGGTGGGGTGCGAGCCTGGGAAAGTGGGGGCTTAGCAGAAGGGCTGGCGCGGTGGGTCGTGGCCGCATTGCACACTTTGCAGGAGCCCATACGGCTCGGAACAGCACTCTACGTTACGCACATATTTATCTTAAATAGAGCAGGGGAGGGGAATACTACCAGTAAACCTGCAGTCCGGACACATCGCTCTCCGACTTTTGATAATGCTAGTATTTTCATCTAAGCGTATTTCTAAACAGCAATAAAGTTGACCCACATTTTCCATTCTGTTTTCTAACATATGAAAAACACCATGCAATATCACATATTCACCAATATCATTCCCCTTTCTTAGTATCAAGTATTCATCCTAGAAAAGATGTACTTTTGTTTTTTCTCTTTGGTGGTGGTATTGGGGTTTGCACCTGCTAGGCAGGCACTCTACCACTTGAGCCATGCCTCCAGCCCCATCCTAGAAAAAATTTAAAATACAGGCAAGGCAAAAACAGGAAAAAGTTTAAATGTCTAGTAACAATATCATCAAATATACACACACACACATATATTTGTGTGTGTGTGTATATATATATATATATATATATATATATATACATGTATAGCGCGTGTAGATTCAAAGATGGGGGCAGACGATGGATGCCTGGATTAGGAGTTTCACGTTTTACGGGAAGCCTTTGAGGGTTTTGAGAAGGGGAGTAGGATAATCTTACTGCTTTGTGGAGGAAGAAGTTAAAAATGGAGCTGGGAAATAAGTTAGGATGCTGTTTCTGGTACCTTGGACCAGGCCTGTGGCAGTGGAGATGGGAAAGAGTAACAGATGAAAAAATATTTTGGAGATAGTGTTAACAAGACTTGGAAATGGATTGGTGAAGGAAAGGAGAAATCATTGTGTATTTATTTTTGCAGTTTTATAACTACTTTCATTCAGCAGTTCTCATCCACATTGACTATAGAATGAATTGAATGTGGTAACAAGGACGTATAGATCACCAAAGCGTTGATGTTTGGTGGATCTTTATCCTCATTGTATGGTTACTGTATGGGACATTCCAGATTCCTTTGGCCTAGACAGCTTTGTTGAGCCTGGCATCTATGCGCACAGTCCTCATTTCTTTCATGACAAATTTCTGGATCTGTTTGAGTGCCCAAGGGTCATGCTTCTTAAAGCCCACCCTATGGATCAGTTTGTGAATGTTGATGGCATATTCTCCAGTCATCACTTTCTTTGATGGCAGAAAGGCCCTTTTTGCCACCTTTCTTTTCGGGAGTCATTCTGCCTGACCCAAGTTGGAAAAGCAAATCATTGCTTTTTAAATTTGTGTTTTGAGCAACTGAGATGGTGGTGCCATTTACAGAGATGTAAAACGTAAAAGAGAAGTTTAAGGTAGGGAAAATCATGAGTTCTCTTTTGGATGATTTAAATTTTTGTATGGTGAGAAAGTTGGATGTGCCGGACTGGACAGATTATATTCAAAGGTATGGGCCTATGTGAGGTCACTTAGGGGGAAAATGTAGAGAGAGAAGGGCTTCAGGACTCATACTTCCAGATATAATAGAGGAAAAAGATTGAGCAAAAGGCTGGGAAGAAACAGGAGGCTAGTATTTGAGGCCAAGAGAGGAAAGTTTTTGGAAGACAAGAATTGGTCCTCTTTTTTTTTTTTTTTTTTTTTGTTAAGACTCGGGTTTGAACGCAAGGCTTCATGCTTGTAAAGCAGGTGCTCTACCACTTGAGCCACATCTCCACTTCATTTTGCTCGTTATTTGGGAGATGAGGTCTCACAAACTGTTTCCCTAGGCTGGCCTCAAACCACAATCTTCCTGATCTCAGCCTACCAAATAGCTAGAATTACAGGTGAGAGTCATTGGAGCCCAGCATGAATTTGTCATCTTACCAGTGCATCTGAAGTGTTTAGTAGGGTTGCTGATTGGACTTTGCAACATAGAGGGTTACTGGTTTTAGTTATTAGGTCTATTGCTCATAGTTCCAAAAGTGGGAGGTGGAAAACAGATTAGATAGCTGAATGGGAAAACCAAAAATTGTATGTTCTCCCTCATATGAGGACTTGGGTCACATGACAAGGGGAGAGCACATATGGGAGGTATGGGAATAGGTAGAAAACCCAAAACATGAAAGCGTTTGATGTCCCCATTCCAGAGGAACTAATACAGAAGCCTTAAAGCAACAGAGGTCAACATGAGAAGGGGATCAGGAACCAGTGTAAAGATCAGTTCTAGGTGAATCAACTTGGATTGTAACAAGTTGTACATGGAAGCAATGCTAGGAATCTCTTTGTATAGCTACCCTTAACTCAACTAGCAAAAATGCTTTGTCTTTCTTATTATGCTTATGTATTCTCTTTAACAAAATTAGAGATATGGGCAGAACAGGTTCTGCCTGGAAGTGAGGTAGGGTGGGGGCGGGGGGGCGGGGGGAGAAATGACCCAAACAATGTATGCACATGTGAATAAATGAATAATAAAAAAAAAATAGCTGAATGGGATACAAGGAAGTGAAGATAATGAGTGTGAATTAGGAAAAAGTGCCCTTTGAGATACCTTATTTCCATCTGTTCCAAAATATATGTGATAGCTGAAAAATGGTCTCTTTTTTTTTGTGGTGGTCCTGGGGATTGAACATAGGGCCTCATGCATGCTTAGATACTCAGCTACTGAGCTACATCCCCAGCCTCTAGAGTCTTTTTTTTTTTTCTTTTTTGCTGTACTGAGCCACTCCACCAGCCTTTTTTATGTTGGGCTGGCTTTGGCCATCGATCTCCCTCATCTCTTCCTCCTGAGTAGCTAGGATTACAGGCTTGAGCCATCGCCGCCCTCTCATTTTTTGATTAGTTGTATGTTTCAACTTTTTTCACATTTATTGGCCACATGTGAATTTCTGTTCATGTTCTGTCCATTTTTTTAATTGTCAAAAATTTTTCAGGTATTAAAAATACATAGTTAGACAGGTAGCATGCAGAAGTTTCCCCCATAAGTTTTTTATACAGTTTTAACTGGTTTCATATTCATTGAATATACTGTACTTTTCTATGTGGTATTTTTTTTTTTAATAAAATACATAGGAAGAAGAGACCTAACATTTAAATTGTAGATCTGTGAGTGCAGCCCACATACGGGATGTCTCACCCCATTTGTGACAGTATTTTCTCAGGATAGATTCTCCTCTTGTCTCATTCAGCCATAAATTTTACTTTGAATGTTTGTGTCTTTAAATTGTTTGATAAGCCTGTGTGTAATCCTGTACTTCTTTTAGTCTGTTTTCTATCTTGCTGTAGCTCCGTGGTAGAGCCTTGCTTACCATATGCAAGGCTCTTGGTTAGATCCCCAGCACTGCCAAAAGGAAAAAAAAAGAGAAAGGAAGTTTTTGAAGGCTGGAGTTCACCTCATGGATGAGTTGGAATTTAATTTGATTTTTGGAAGATGAGGAGTCTTGGTAAGCTGAGAAGGTCAAGGTAAAATCTGAACCCACTGGAAGGTGATTGTGAGACGTTCAGGAACGTGAACTTTGGTGACTGCATGGTGACTGCAGCGTTAGAAGAACTAGTTCACCGAGGCAGGGGTTCTTTCTGCTTACAGGAAGAAAGCTGTGGAGGAGGAAGGGTTACTTGATGGTAAAGGCAGGTGAGAGAGAAAAGGTGATTTTTATTCATAGTTGTGGATACATTGGGGATTGTTTTGTGCTTTGTTTTTAATATTTTGTCAATGGGTGTAATTCTTTTATTTTTGGCAATACCAGGGTTTGTATGCTTGCTAGACTTGAGCTTCTTCACCAGCCAAATGGGCATATTTTTTAAGTTAAGATATAATTCATGTAACTTTATACAGTTAATTCAGGGGTTTTGAGTGTATTTTAAAAGTTGCACAACCATCACTATGATCTAATTCCATGACATTTCTATCTCTCCAAAAGAAGTCCCCTATCAGTTAGTCCTATTGCTCCCCTCATCCTCTGGTAACCAGTATCTATCTGTGGATTTGCCTGTTTCTAGACATTTCATATAAATAGAACTATATAATACATGGCTTCTTTCACTTAGCACAGCGTTTTCAGGGTTCATCCATGTTTATAATGTGTTTTATTTCTTGTTCTTCTAGGGTTGCTTGTTTTTGTTGTTTTGTGCTGGGGATCAAACTCAGGGCCTTGTATATATACCACTGAGCTACATCTCAGTCTAAGAATTTCTTGTTGTTGCTTAATAACACTCCATTGTGAGAGTATACCAGATTTTGTTTATCTGTTCATCAGTAGATGGACATTTGGGGTTTTTTTGTTCCCCACTTTTTGGCTATTACAAAGAATGCTGATATATTCACTGTGTTAACTTTCTGTCACCGTGACATTATACCTGAAATAAACCACTTAAAATAAGGAAAGACTTATTTTGACTCAGTGGTTTCAGAAGTTTCGTGGTGACTTGGTTTTGTTGCTTTTGGGCATGTGGCAAAGC